TGGCCAGCTCAGCCCACCAGGGGGTGGGGCTGGCTGGCATGTGGTGCTGGGGGATTGAACCGTGGTCCCTGTGCTTTGCCTAGCTTGTTCTAAGTAGGTGCTTTAGACCACTGAGCCATCTCACCAGCCCCTATCTGTTCAATTTTACACCAAGAATATAGTGCTCTAACAAACACATGAGAAACTTAACTGCACAGGGAGAATACATCCACATCTCCAGTGTTTGCTGAAGAATGAATGGATGTTCACTGTGGATGCACATGGCATAGGCACAAGAAGAAGCCCCAGTGATTGTACCTAACACTGAGCAGTCAGCAGACAAAAGAGAAGTCAGACAAGGTGGTAATATAATCAGCTACATCCCACCAACTAAAGGTGAAAGATGTCTGGAGTCAGGGGTATCTCCCAACCTTCCTGATGGTCAACTTTATGTGGCTGTAAGCACTAGATGTTATGTTTGTAACAGTAAATTGTGAGTGCCCCATTCCTTCTCATTCTCCATTCTATCTTTTCTCCTATGCTTTTGGATTGTTTCCCTTTTGTTCTTAGGCCATCTTCTCTGCTCTTGCCCTTCCATTCTGTACTGCTGTTACTTCTTTTCCAAAGACCCTTTGCCCATTATTACCTATGTTCTGATATATGCTTATCCTTTCTGTGGGAAAAGAAAAATCACCATTAAAACTTATATTAAAGTATCATGATATGTTAATGGAGGAAGCCACAAACCACTCAGTGTCAATGAACCTAAGAACATGGTAACCAGAAGACTTATCTGAAATATTCAACTCAATGAGTGAAACTTTTTCTTTATGAATTTACTAAAATGAGTAAATAAGATAAATTTACTAGCTTCTATATTGTCTCCCAGCTTCATATTTCTTGCCAAAAAGGTTAAGAATGAAATTTGGGGGCTGGGGAGATAGCTTAGTAGAATAAGCTCTTGCCTGGCAAGCACAAGGTCCTGAGTTCAATCCCCGGTACTGTAAAAAAAAAAAAGAATGAAATTTTAATTAATTATTTTAATAATGAAATAGTAATAATTTTAGTCCTTATTTTTAAAATATCAAATAGATATATTTTTGAAAGTAGGTAGCTACGCTAAATAGGAATATTTATACATAGTTCTAAAGGTGTATCAACTAGTTTATTTTCATCTTTTGACTAATGTATAGGGAGTTTGTTGCTGCCATTGAAAGGGCAGACAAAAAACGCAAGGTTGGAAAAAAATTAAAAAGAAAACATAAAATTTTGAGTCAATTATGAAAAGTAATTACTGTTATCTGGAAGCTACCTCACTATAAAAACATTAGATTCTTTTTAGATTAATCTACAGTGGTTGTTCATGTTCAGATCACATAGCATTTTTAGTGCATATATTCTGCATTATATTTGCAAAGATTTTGTCTACCTATATTGACTAACATCTGACCAATACAAGTGTAGATGTTACTTCTCTTATTGGACTTTATATTCCCCTCCTAAGGTAATTTGCTTAAATGCTCCTTTAATTTACTTGGAGAACCACTTCAAACTACAAGTTTTGCTCCACAAGCCTGCAGGCTCTCTGAAAAGGTCATAGTGTTGCTTCTCAGGGACTGGATCCTTGGCAAGACAGAACAAGGGTGCTCTCCAAATAGCCTGGGCTGAAGAAGGGACTGTACTAGAAGGAGGTAGAAGAGCTCAGTAACAACAGATTGGATTTTCATCTCCATGAACTGTTAGTTGTTGCTGTGGCCGTATTTATCGATAATGCTTTTAGGAAAAAAATCATGAGACTTCAACTGCAACTAGGTAGCAAAATTCATATCCAACTTGGAATAAGTTCACAATGTAACAAGTTACTTTTCAAAAATACTTGATTCTACAGAACTGTTAGTTGGTTTTTTCAGTGTCCGCTCAGCCCACAATGACCCTTAACCACCACCAGTTACCTCTGTGCCCCGTCAGAGTAACTCACCAATTCTATTCTGATATGGTGCTTTTCATTCCAGTGTGTTAGTGCTTCACCTTAGATATTGTTAGATCACCTGAAATTTAAAGATCCTGAGTCTCTCTCCCAACCCCAGGGGTCCAACTTTAACTGGACTTAGTGTTTCCTAAAATTTCTTACATGCCTTTAATGCACTGCCAAAGTATCCCACTGGGATATCCTGTGACATGAGACCATCAGAAATCTCAGTCAGTCTGACTTACAACAAGAGAGATAGAGAGAATAATTCATTTACTTCCATGTGCTGGGTGTTATGCTTCTCAATAATACAGTCCAGAAATGGATGAGAGAAGAAACATGCCTGGAATGAGACCAGAAAGCAGTAAGAACACTTTCAAAAGGAGAGATGTAGGAGAGGAGGGTGCTTGAACTCCTGGGACAGTGGTTCTTTCAGTTTTGAGCTCTTCTGTGTACTTCTCCTTTAGGACTTACTTCTTTTTGCCTTTTACCCTTGAAGGAAATTGCTTATGTTACCATGCTCAGAGGAGCCCTTGTTGGACAGCCCAACTGTTCCACTCAGAATCTCCAATGTAAAAAGATGTTTTAACTACAAATTTCACTCATTACCTTAGCACTCCTCTGGCATTTAGGAACTTAAACTATGTATTTAAAGCATCATTATCATTAATCTTAAAGCTATATAGATGCTGAGTGATAAGGATTAGATATTGCCCATTCATAGTAAATAGTGTGTTTATCAGGAATTCGTTTGTGGATGTTATTTTTTGTCTGTGGTTGAACATGCTAACTTACCTTATATGAAAGTTGGCTATGGTTAAGAAGAATGATGTCATTCAAATAAATTAACAAGCAACACGAAAAGAATAACTATTATGGTTGGTTTTTTTTTTTTACCTTGGGGAAAAGATGTATCTCTCCTTTTTCAGTTTCAATTCAATTATCTGATTTCCAAGTCATCTTGAAGTTTGTATCAAGAGAGTCACTAGATTGTTACTATCAAATGTAGGGGAAGATAAGGCAGCCAGCAATTAGTGCCTGTTCTGTGTCTGCTAGAGAGTAAAGGGTGGCCAGGGGATCTTCCTGAAAGCTGGATGCTCTATTCAACAAAATTAGTAGCTTCTCTGAGACACCTATGTTTTCATCCTTGGCCATCCTGCACAGCACAGGAGTTTATTAATGAATCTGTTTAAATGAATAAATGACAATGAGCTCAGTTTTTATATACCAGTTATGCATACTGAAGATAAATGTCAGCACCAACCCTGCACAAGGTGAAAATTGATATTCGTATATTGCTGTTTACATTAATGATTTGATTCTATTAACATCTTTACTTCTTGTGTTTAAAAATGCAATTCATATAATTTATAAATGTGAGCTACTTTCTTGCAGTACTAAATGGGTTTGCGCATATAGTAAATTTCCTTTTTCCAATGAAAACACAAGGTGGAAGGTATCTAAATGACCACCAACTTCCACTAACACACAGAGGTTTCATGGTGTTCTACCACAAGTCTTACTGACATAAACACATAATGACAGAAGACAAAAATGTGTAATGGTCACATAAACATGTTAGGATTTATTAGATAAAGATCATAATTAGTTAAATAAATTCAAGAACTCATTTAAATAATTCATTGGACAGAAAAATCTATTTTCTGTTCTCTTCAGAATGTTTAGAATATTCACACAGACAGCAACTCAGTATTTCTTCAAATGCTGCACTTCAGATTGATTAAAATGTTTCTATATTATTAAAGGGTATTGTAATTTCAAAGTTATTAAGGGCATTTTTCCAATAATAGAAATGAAGGCGAAACAGTAAGTTAGAGTTACAAATCCACACTCTTATAGATATGGGAGTCATATATTTTGTTCCATCAACATGTCTACTTTACATTATTCAGCACAAAGCTTTGTAAAATAAGAGTCATGGGAATATAAGAATATAAAGGAAAAAGGTACAAATAACAGCTTCATAAACTGAGAAATGTACATAAATAAATCATGTATATGTGGGCAGTTTGCTTAGCTGGCAAGAAACAAAATATGGAAATCTGCTTGTTAAACAATAACTACAGAGTGTGCTTTTATGATGTTTTCTCACCACAGTAATTCATATTAGAGATAGAAGCAGTTGCATGTTAAATAAAATCATTGAACATTGTTCCCTTTGCATTGCAAAGAGCTGACTTATGTTGTTTTTAGATGCCTCCCATTAGAAAGTAAATATTCCTCAATGCTATGCATTTCACAAAATTTAATAAAGACGAACTATAAATAAAGTCACAGGCAGATTTCAGACATTTTTATTAGGAGATTGTTGAAAAGAAAAGGAAAATTAAATACAATACCAGTAAACGTGGTTCTCACATTGAAACCAGGCTCAAATAACTAGGCTACCATAGAAAAATTTCCAATTCTTGCATTATGATGTAAAAACAGATTTTTGTACAGGTTTTGTACAACAAAATTCGTAATAACCTTTTATCATTTTTAGAAAACTTTAAATATATAGATAAAAATAGACAATTTTCATAGGTCCTACATGAAGATGAGTATGTTCTGTTCCAGGGGCTTGCATAGAGCGCAAATGTGGTTATAATATAGGACAACTAGACATTAATATTCATAGGTTTACAAAAGCATGAAAACCATAAAATGGGCACAATTTTACTTGCTTATGCCAAAACACAAATTTCTAACCAACCTGTTTAACTAAAAAAAGGAAAAAAATTTAAGTTACAGACTTACAATAACACTTCATGAGTTGTAATATTTACAAAATGTTAGTAAGAGTTTTTCTTAACATATAACTGATAGCTTTTTTCTTTAATCCTTTCTAAAATTTCCTTTCATGTCAAACCAAACACTAAAGCATTCTCAAAGGTCTTGAAAGTATGTATTTTAAAATGATTTAACCCCACTTAACAGGTGACTCTATGCCAGGAGCAGAGTGATGCCTGATTCTACCACATATGTAAGATGTAGGCTTTTAAAAAAATCTTTTCAAAGATGTATAATTCAAAAACTTGCCACAAGTCAATCAAATTTTAAGTGTTGTAATCCTTTAAAGACTGAGTATAGGAAAAAACAAAACAAAATAAAAAGATACATACTAAGTAGGATTAGAACCTCTTGTGATCAAAGAACAAAGATGGCTATGGGAGAACTAGGTTTAGAAAATCAAATTTCTACAAAGCATTTACTAACAATATCTTAAATAAAAAAATATTGCTCCCTTTTAAAGCAAGCTAAAATCTGAGCCATACATAGAACCTTTTAATTGTATTAAAATGGGCTTAGCTGTTTAAAAGCAAGTTATATAAAAGAATTATGTCCCAGCATTACAAGGAAGACCTAAAAATATAGAAGCTTAGTGCCAGAGTGTTTCTAATGTTAACTTTTTAAAACCAAATAGTCATTACCCAATCAAAACTCTCCTGAACATTTTAAACTCGTTATTTAGACCCTTATAATTTTGCTGTGTTACGGTAATAAATAATGCTTTAATAATAAAATTTTGAGATGACAGAAAATAATAAGTTGTATAGTGGCAGTAGTGATATATCAGTCTTTAAAGGTGTAATTCCACACATAAAAAAAACAAAGAGAAGGTAACTTCACCATGTAATAAGCACTGTTTGCAGCTTTACTTCCAGTTATCTGCACAAAAGTGAAAACACATACTGTAACTTTCAAAAAGACAGTGAAAAATAACACATAGCCACCCTTCCCTCTGACCCGGGTGGGAAGTACAACACATCTTAACTTTATCACTCAGGGCTACATGGTATTGGACTGATACATCAAGGATTTGTTAAGTTTTGTTTTTTAGCAACATTAACATAATATGACATTAACATATAAAAATATTTCTGGTGTTTTGATTTGCTGTTCAGCCACAATCCATTCTCAGTAGTGCAGCTTGGGGCACTAACTAGGGATCAATATACAAATAAAAGTGGCTGAGACAGAGTTCTGATGTCACCAGATACTTAAGTCTCATTCATTAATACTGTGACTTCAGACAAATATTTACATGCCTGCATGCGTTAAAACCAGAAAGACATCTTTCTGACCAACAGGGTGACAAAACATATTTTCTAAAATTTTCATTTTCCTAAATTCTAGTATACTACTGCATACATAATACCTTCCTTGTGTTTTATGTTTATATACTGTACATGTGACCAACAGTTTGAATAAGAAGCAACTTTATTATTTTAATCCTATATACCACTACCAGTTTGGAATGAAAATGTTACATTTATATATATATATTTATATATTTTATTTTTAAGAAACAGAGACCTTCAGCAAAACCTTTTGGCTTCTATTCAATGCTTCTTTTCAGATATGCAAAATGTTACTTCATTGGGTTGATGTCAACATCCACTTGTTGGTCTTTTGGAAAGCATATGAAAAAAAAATTCAGGCGAAAACCCCAACATTAGAGTTTAAAATTGAACATAATGAAATACTACTCTTTTTATTTTCTTTCACAATCCTCTATGCCCCTTACAAGTTCATTTCCATGCGTTCTTGCTGGTTTCAGTGGGACATTACTCTGTAAGTCTGGGTAACCACGGATATAAGAGTCTATTGATGTGCTCAGATACAGAATTGTCAGAAGAGGGAAATGGTTCATTCCATTAAAAAAAAAAGCCAGGTCCCATTTTCAGACCTGTCTTTAACTCTGTATACAAGTGTCCAGCAGAAAAGTTGCAGTTACTAACTGTAAGAAGTTTCATACTTGTACATTTACAATCATTCTCAGGTCTCTGGGATAAACAATAGGTGAAAACCAATAGAGGATCTTTTTTTGTAGGATATTTAAGTGTTAAAGAAATGTAATACACAAAATTGAGGAAGTTCCCTTGAAAGGACTTATTTTCCCGAACTTTCCAATGGTGAATGCCTTAATGCAATTCTCTATTATGACATAGGATTTCTTCAACAGGAAAGATTCAGTACATGACAGTAGTTTTCAAATACAGTCTTCCATCTAAAAATGAATAATAAAAAAACAGTTAATGACATAGTATTTTGGAGGAAAATGTGTATACAAAATATATATAGCCTGCTACAAAGTTTGCAGTTTTTATTTTACCTTCACTCACTTAAGAAGCACTACTTTTCACATATTCTCAAAGTTAATTTCATAATTACATTAGGTTTATAAGATAAAGAATACAGCCCTGTACTTCTCATAAATAAATATTTGCTATTTTGATATCAGTTCCCAAGCACTCAGAAAATAGATAAGAGTGTGTGTGTGTGTGTGTGTGTGTGTGTGTGTGTGTGTGTGCTTTACTGATAAGCAAAGCTAGTCTATTTCTCTTGAATGACAATGACTTCCTCCATGCTTACAGATTCAAATTTGCTCTGCATGCACTCAGGTGTGTCTCCTTCGTGAAAGACTAAGCCCCTGTGTTAACTTTAGCAGAGCTGTTTAATATACCTTGTAATATAGCTATTGTGCACATTCATTGCTCTGTATATGAAAGCCACTAGCCATAGTTCATCACTATCAATGAACTATGTAGTCTTTCCTCTTGAAGTGGGATTAACCCAAAATTAAATATTGAGATATAAATCCATGCCTTAACTTTTGCCAATGAAAAATAAACATTGTTATGCAAAAAGTTCAAAGGAAATCAAATTTTGGTCACAATGAATACACATACTGAAAGAAACACAAGAAATGGGAAGCTAAAAATCCAGTACAGAACCTAAGTAAAACATAAATCTATTCCTCAAATATAACATTCTCTAAACTTTTTAGTTTATGGTGTGACCTGAAGTATGGGTGTATTCGCATGAAATGTGCCTGAATTTCAACTTTTCATAGCTATCTAGGGAAGATAGTGATTAAAAAAATAGAAAGTTTTAAAACATTAAAAACAAGCATATAGTCATGTGAATTTTTGCAAAATGTCTGATAGTTTCAAAAATGTAAGTACAAAAGATGACCAAAAATATGTTGAATGTTCACATTAGAAGTATTTGTCACAGTGAAAGTTCCATTGCTAGGAGTCTCCCTCAAAGTGCTCCCACTTGCTTTCAGCACCCTTATCCTATTGTACTTGTCACTTTGTGAAAATGTTGTGAAAGTCTTTCAAAAGTGCTTGTGTAAATGTGATAGAAAGAGAGTAAATTCCACAGCTGGGTGTCCCCCTCCTGCAAATAAGACTTTATAACATCAGTCAAGTGTGTCTTCATATACTTCACTGTATGTGACGTCACGTGACTTCTCAGTCTTTCCCCCAAATCAAAATGCCATTGAAAGGTAAATGTTTTGAATTGATTCTGGACATTGAGATACCTGGAACAGCACAATTGAAAATACAAAGGAGGATTTCCAGAATTGTTTCAGGAAGTGATAAGAAAAGTGGGAGATAAGGGCTGGGGAGATAGCTCGGGGGTCTAAGTGCTGGCTTGGCAAGCACAAGGACTTCAGTCCGATTCCTGGTACCACATGCTATGCTGGCCCCACAATCCTAGCACACTGGGCTGGCCTGACATGGTGGTGCATGCCTATAATCCCAGTGCTAAGGAGACAGACAGGAGGACCACTATGAGTCTGAACTGCATAGCAAGAGCCTGTACCAAATACATAATTTTTTTTTAAAGAACACTTGGATAACTGTTTGAAGTGTGTGTATGTGTTGGAGGGAGGTAGTGTTTTAAGGAGAATAAACAGTAATTAACAATTATAAAATATTTCATGTTAATCATATTTTATGATCAGATCTTATTTAATGCAACATAAATAATCTATAGCAGATTCAATATAGGAAGGGTAATCGAAAGATTTTTAAATATTACCTTCAATATTAAACCAACTAATTAAACACTTTATATAATCTATAGTAAATATAGTAATGATTAATTTATGGTTACACATCATAAATTATTTTTATGTCACAGAAATTGATAGGATATTCTATATTCCTATCATTCTTTTTTATGTTAAATCTCGATACTTGAGGAATATTACCTTCAAGATCATAGAAATGTTTCCGCAAAATAACTTTTGCTTTAAATATAAGATGTAATCTAGAAATCTAAACAATGAATCCAACTAAACTCCAATTAAAGGCCTGGGGAGATAGCTCAGTAGAGTAAGTGCCTGCCTGGCAAGCACAGAGTCATGAGTTCAAACTCCAGTACTGAAAAAAAAAAAAGAAAGAAGTACTGAACTCTAATTAGAAAAATGATCTCAAGAGACATGAAAGCTGTGCTAAATAATTTCTCTAAATATGTGATACAAAAATATTTACCTACTTTGGCTTTCAAATATAGACTCTCACTGACACTACCACTACAGTTTATCAGTAGTTACTATAATATTTGTTATGATTTGTGTCTAGTTGTCCCCCCAAAGCCTCATGCAGACCTGGGGTGGACTTCTCCAGTCTGTGATTAACTCATGACTTATTGGGATTATGGGTGTGAGTGCTGTTGGCATTATGGGTGTAGATGCTGCTGGGATTATGGATGTGAGTGCTACATTCAGCCTGGGGCCAACAGCCTGAATGCAACATAAGGCAGACAGGCTTGTTCTCTGGCTGTGTTGTTGCTGCCACTCCTCCCATTCGCTCTTAATGTTTTGCTGTATTCTACTGTCATGAACAGATTTCCTCAGTCTGCCATGTACCACTCAGCCTTGGAGCCAGCTTTGTATGGACCGAAACCTTCACTAACTGTGAGCTAAATAAACCTTTCCTTCCTTAATTTTGAATGTCAGGTATTTGTTCCAGTAAGGATAGAAGAGTAACTCAGACAATAATAAAGATAGAAGTTTATTACATTAAGAATTAATTATGTATCAACATCACAACAAAATAATTTTGATGAAATTTTTAAGTATAGGTACGACAGTATTATATTAACATGCTATGAAATTTTTATTTTTCCTGCTCAGAATATGATCTAATTTATTTATTTAAGCTTAGTTTGATTATAATCACTTGTGGCTCAAAACAGCTTTTCTTGTTTACATCACACAAAAGGGCCAATATATAATTATGTATAGCTCCATCTTATCAGGGGTTTTAAATAATTATAGTATATTTGATATTATAAAACTAAACTAAAAGTTTAGGATTTTCATAGACTTCTTATCACCTGGCTAAAAAGTCAGACTTTAATTTTCTTTTTCATTGTAATAATTTTCATTGCATAAAACCATAAAAACACTTTCAAAGAAGAAATGAGTAATATAGGCTACAGAAGTAATTTCAGAAGTAGAGTGATGATAATTTTATCAAATCAAATTCTTGGTTTCTTAATTTATTCATTCTCACTTACCTTTTTTTGACTCAATTGTCTTATTATTACATAGACTCAATTATATTTAGAATATCATTCCCAGCCCAGCTTTTTAAAATAGACTATACTATTTTTCTACAATTAGGTATGAAGAAGATAGATCTTTTCATTTTCCTGAAATTCAAATTCCATGATGTGAGATCTTTCACATAATCTGTGAAAAGAGATAATCTGCTCTAAGTAACATTTTAGTGCTGTAAGTCTTCTAAATCTGTGCATATTGAAGAAGAAAGTATTGAAAATAATTTCCTACTCTGCTGTCTACAGCACACAGGCCAAAAGACTCCATGGCAGAGAATATATATGCATGATACGAAAGTATTAATTACATATTATTAATACCTAATTGAATCTATATCAAGTAAATAATTTTTTTCATGATACATATTTGCATTACTGCACCATAGCTTGACACTAAATTTGCCTCTGCAATCCTCCTGGTTCATAGATCTTGGCTTTCCTTTCCATTGTGTGCACGCTCAGTTTCCATCCTGTGCTGAAATATTTAGCCTATCCAGAAAGTATCTTAATAGATAATTAGATTTGAATATTTAGCCTCTATATATTAGGCATTTAGAAAATAAGCTGTCATCACATTTCAACTTACTCTTCTTACTAAGTCTCTCTATATAAAGTGAGTTGCATTGTAAAAATTCACTCAGTGGTAGAGATTTTGTCTTATTTTCTAGCTATCAAAAGTAAGTCTACAACATAGTAAAATCTTGGAAATCAACAACTGCATATCTTTTCCTCCCACCATTAGAATGAAAATGCTTCAGCAAGCTATCTTCAGTGAAAATTATAATAAGCATTCGACTATTAAATTTTTGAACAAAAACAAATATGCCAATAATAATTACAAAGTTTGTCTAAATTTCTAAATTAAGCTTCATTGATTTTTAAAACATATTGTAAACATCTTTAGTGTGGATGATTTATAAAACACATTTATTATACAATTATATACAATAGTTATGGGCTCAATATCTGACATACTATAATTCTACTATTAATCAATTTGTCTTCTATTAATTTTTTTATTTATGTTCCTAACAGATGGAAAAAGCATCAAACATTAAAGATGTCAGCTATGAAATAAATTCCCACCTCTACAATTAAGATATTTCCATAATTAAATACTAAATATTCTCTGTCTTGCAATGAACTAAGGGCAGAAATAGATCACACATAGAAAGACTTCATAAGAGTTTCACTCTTCATTTAAAATATCTAGATTTAAAAACAATTCTATTTTATAATCCCATTCATTGAAAAATACTTAAAAGTCTTTTAGAAAGAAGGAAAAGTCTTATAGGATAATTATAAGTGTGTAGGAATAAACATTTAAACTAATTTTACATTATTTCAGAGAAGGAGTATGGGCTTTGTTGCTCATGGTGAGTAACCATATATAGACACACCCAGACCTCTGAATGATAGGATTCTAATTCTAACTCAAGTTTCTGATAAAATGTTAACTAAATGAATGAAAGGTAAATTACAAGATTTCCAGAGAGCATATATGGTCTGGGTTTATAATTCACTGTGCCATGTTTTTAGTCTGTATTCCAACAATGCTAATATTCTCTGTTCCTGAGAAGAGCAAGACCACCATGCAGCCATGGAGAAAGCCATGGGATCCCAATGAAAGCCTTAGGAAAACAAGCTACA